TTTGTCTCTGCTCTTGTTGGCGAGTTAGTTTGGACGTGCCTACGTGATGAGGCTAGTCCGGGCAGTCCAATTATTGTGGCGATGGGTGTGTTTGGACCAACCTGTTCTTCATTCTTCATTATTGTCTCCAGGTAACAAACGGATGGAATGGAGCCAGATGTTCCCCCCTGTGTGTGTGTGTGTGTGTCTAGCTGTGGGGCTACAACGAACTACGAACAAGCTCACACAACAACCATTGCCTTGTCTCTACTAACCACTACAGTACTACATATGCATGCAGATAGATGCAGTGGCCGGGCTTGTTATGTCATTGCGTGCAGTGGAGAAGATCTAGCGTCAACTTGTCTCCATGTGTGAACAAAATTTGCAGGCGTGTGTGTGTCTGATCCTGGTTGCTTCAATCAGGTCCAATCCTTCAATCAAACAATGAACTGAAAGGAAATGACATGATTAATGGCCTTCTAGTAATACTATGTGCTGTACAAAGTACAGTAAGCTGCAGCAATTATAGTACAAACTGTTTTTTCCCATGGCTGAGAGAAAAACTATGTACTACTTCTTTGAAAGCAAATGGTTCTTTTTCTCATTGGAAATTGTAAATGTTTTTTTTATTTGAAAGCAACTTCTGAGTTCAGACTTTAAAATAAAAAAGAAGACTAACAGAATGGTCGCTTCAGCACATACACCTGTATTTGGCCCCCTTTTGCCTGGCCAAATCAGTAGACATGCTGAGCTGACGACAATAGAGTATGCATGCATGCACCATGGGAAAAAAAAATCCCCAGCACCTGCTGTCAGTTCTCGTGTGAAAAAGACGCCGATTTGATCGAAAGCTTAGGATTCCTGATGCGCATCAAACACTTGGTGAATTATTAAATATATGTCGCCACTTTACTAATTGGAGGAATCTATGCCTTGGATACAAAGAATGCGGAAAGAAAGGAGAATTAGTACGGCGTAAAAGAGATCCATTCATTCATCTGATCTGAATATCTGATCACGAATCCGGGTGAGATCGACGGATTCATTTTTTTAAAGTACCAAGTACGGATATGATTTATATTTATATTATCGTCATATATACAATTATACATACTGATGCTACTGCTACGTGCTGCTGTCTGCTACTCTGCTTCCTTTGCTGTTTGGAATGCACCATGCTTTGCTGCATGCGATTCTAAACTTTGAAGTATACATATAATATAGTACTTAATAAACTGTTGAGGCCACTTTTAGAATCAGCAGACTAGTTGTGTCCTTTAGACGACAAGACATCTGAATTCCAGGCTTTCACTTTTCTCATGCAGTGCTACTGCTACATAGCATGCTCTAGGTTTCATTTTGCTTTTTTTTATATAGAAAAGAAACAATAATATAAAACCTACTACAGTTATTGGTTTATGGAATAACGTAATAGTGAGCGACTTAGACTAATCTACAGCATCATAGCTAGCTAGCAGTAGCAGTAGCACACATGCTTCAGAATGTGAATGTCAGCCAGTGGATTATCCAACGGTTAAGATTAAGAAAGAGCTGGGGTCATCCTCGTCCTCGGGGTCCCAGTGGGAAAAAAAAATCTGCATTCTGTGAGTCAAGGTCCTTCCAGGCACAAACCATCTCGTTTGATCATTGACGACGGACCTACATGCCTGCAACTGCAATATTCTACTGCCACCTCCCATGGTCGCCTGCTGACCTACACACCATCATACATTCTGCCGTACCCTGTGTCATGTGGAGTAGAAGCTTCTGTTTAGGCCTTGTTTAATGCTAGATACATTGGCAGCGCCAGTAAAGTATGGTGACGTGGAAAGAAAGCAAGACATCCTGATCATGTTCCAGCACGCCAAATTGTTTTGTTGCATGTCGAAGAATTCGGCGAATTGTTTAACTTAACTGGAACGTGCGTCAGATAATATACTCACGTACTGCTCCTAGCTTCGTCGTAGGCACGTCCTGGCTACTGACAAACCTTCCTGTTTCTGAATATATATATACTAATAGCAGTATATGTCTTTGGACGAACTCAAACCGAATGGCACATGCACATTTTTCTTTGTTTATGTAACTGCTAGTCCGTCTGAACTCTGAAGTTCAGATTTTGCATGCGCAAAATGCTGGTGATTGCTGCCGTGCTATGCTGGTAGTAATGTCCAAGGCTCCAAGCAGAAGGCAACAATGGGGAATTGACAACCTCCTCTCCGTGTCCGTGTCTGTCCTGTTCCTGCAGCAGCAGCAATCGCGATCGAGATGGGGTTTAAATAAAGAAGAATTGAAGCAAAGCAATCAACAAGGAGGGTGTCGTTGGTGGCCATTTATGCTGGGCGGCAGGACAGGAGGCTCGGTTGGCTGGCCGTGGCCGGCGTCTGGTGCTGGTGGTGGAAGAATAGGAATAGGAATCCACGGCCTTCGTCGGGCCAGGCGGGCCGGAAGACAGGGCCTGTTCGTTTAGAGGAATTCTGGAGGAATTTGGATGGTTTGAAAAAATGCTGGAGAAATTTGTGAGAGAAAAACATTGTTCTGGATAAAACAAAGAAGCGGATTAAACCGGATTTAAGGGCACGCGAACGGGGCCAGAGACTGAGGAGCGAGGACCATTCCTTCCGGATTCCGATTCCCAGGACCTCTTCGTCCTCCGCCGCAGCTGCAGTTTTCAGCGCACAGCTGTGGCGGTGCACGGACGACGGGGACAGCCGGGACACGGGAGAGGGAGCCCGACAGCCACGAGCTCCTACTCCATCCTCGCAACACGTGCCAGCGTGTAAGTAGGGCCAGCCTTTTTGTTCGGATTCGGAGAGAGGAGCACAGAAATGAAAACCAAGTGAATTTTCGTTTTGCAAATGTTGGGCCCAATTTTCCGCGAGTCTTGTACATTGCATGGCCCAGCCCATGAGTCATTGGGTTTGCTTGCTACATTGAGCAGAATAGTCCTGCACTCCTTCCGCCGGGTGATAATGATAGTTCAGATTGTATTTGTATGTATATCTTCAAAATTCGGTTTTTTTTTTCAAAACATGTATATTTACACCTCCATCACAATTTGATATAGGTTGAAACAGTTATAGGTTGACCAAGTCAACACACGGAGGAAGGCAAAGTATCGGGCACACGTGGTGTGCACGTTGCTCTGAATACGCAATGGAGGAGCAGTCAAGTCTTTTTTTTAAAAAAAATATATACCAGACGCCACAACATGCACACACACTCGCCCTTATGAATACACATACGTAAATCCTATCCCTATGAACACCTCCGAAGGACTGAGCCGGCAGATCTCGAGATTCACGAAGTCATTACTGGTGCCTTGCTGTCGATGGGGACGTTGTCTACCACTGAAAGCATGGTGCCGTTAAATCCTAGAATAAATCCACAAAAATGCGAGCACCCGTGCCAAGTCGAGGACTTGAACCCGGGTGAGCAGGTTCCACCATAAAAACCCTAACCAACTAATCTATGATCCAATAGTCATTTTTTTAATAATGGAACAAAGTCATTAGGGAAGGAGTTGAAATGGAAGTAATAGTCACCGTGATTTTCGAATCGGTAATGCTATTTATAGGTCGTCCATCCGGGCGAACCGTATAAGTCACACGCTCGCTTTGCGTCTCGCACGCACCGCCCCCGCCCGCGTCGCCTTCTCGCTCAGCACGCTGCATGCCTCTGCTCCGGGACAGACCCCACCCTCGGCCACGCGGCCCCGCTCGCGCCGCGCGTGCCCTGCCCGGACTCGTGCCTCCCGTCGTGGCCACGCTCCATCCGCCTGCTCCTTTCCCTAACGAGGCCCGTGCTGCCAACGAGCTCTACACCGGCGACCTCCATGCCACTCCAAGCAGCAAGCAGATGCTACACTGAAAGCGCATGTGTGCAATAGTATGTTTCAAGTATTTTAGATGTTTCAGAGGTATGATGCAATGATAATACTCATGCTCGGGCGTTCATCCGTCCGAACCCGAAAAAAAATCAAATCTCCCCACTCCGCGCTCGTCCGTCGTGCGGCCGTCCACCCGCCCCGCGGCGCCTCCATTTCGCGCCGTGGCCCACTCCGGTGTGCCACCGCCACCATCCCCAGCGGCGCACCCCACCCCCCGCGGCATCTCTGTCCCTCACCGTGCCATGCCCGTCCTCCGCCGCGCCCAGACCAGGCGCCCAGGAGAGGGGGTCATTGCTGGCCGAGCCCAGGCCAGGCGCAGTCGCCGCTGGCTGCTGCTAGGCCGCGCCACCATCATCACCCGCCGGCTGGCCGGAACCAGCCGTTCCCCCGCTCTGCGCTGCGTTATATGGAAGAAGGGTGAAAAACGTATGTTGCAACCCCTATGTTTTAAGTGTTTCAAATGTTTCATAGATATGTTACAAATGTTTCATATGGATGTTGCAAAAGTTGATTGGGATGTTGAATATGTTACAATGGTGGTACACGTATGTTTCGAAGTTTCTGTTCCCAATGTCTCATCAGTTTTTCAGATGTATGCTGCTAGTGTGTTTATTTGGATGTTACATATATTTCACATGTATATTGCAAGTGATTTATCTGAATGTTGTATATGTTTTTACAATGACTTTTCATGTGTTTTCGGGTGTTTTTGTAAGTGTTTCAGGCGCGTGTTTTAAATGTTTAGTCTTCTTTAGACGTATGTTGCAAGTGTTGTATCTGAATACTTGAAAAGTAGGTGAGGTGTTGCACATGTTGCAATGGCGCTGGTACCTGGCTGACAGCGGCCTCCGGAGGGCTTCGGCTCATATCTCGCGCGACACGCCTCGCCCTCTCCTCTCCTCTCCCTCCCCTTCCTTCCATTCCCCCCATCTCGCCTCGGCGTATGCGTTGGAGTGGGGGTCGTCGAGTTTGCTGCGTTCAGACGCACATGCTACCGTGGGATGGGATGTGTTACGGGCGTAAGGGGGTGTGGGATGTGTCCGAACAAGTTCTGTGGCCGGAGGTCCCGACGCTAGCCCTTTCGTTTTCCGAATTGCCGACCACATTGCATAGTCTGTAGCCACCCGTTTTATAGTAGCTTCGAAGTAGCAACAGTCTTTGAAATGGCTAAACAAGATACATCAGCAAGTAGCGGCGTCAGGATTAGCGAACCGACCAGTTTTTTTTTTGGAAATTTTGCTGCAGGACATCGCTAAAAAGCATAATATGCTGATGGACACCGCCAAGAGCGAAATTTGCCCAGTACCATTACAAAATTGCGTCCATTTGCTTAAACACACCGCACCGAATATTTTATTTATTTATCAGATTTGCGGAGAGAGAATGTGAGGAAAATGACTCTTCTACCCTCATCTTCAACCTTGGGATGGTCACTGATTTTTTTTGCCGTAACACACAGTCTCATGTTCAGCGACAGTGCCTCCATCTCGCCGGACATAGAGAAGGTGACAGGGGGCCTCGACGGCGACGGTGGCGGACTCGCCGTCACCATTGGCACCACCGCCGAAGAGCTCCTTCCTCTCCAGCTCGGCGCAGCTGTGCAGGCACTCGAGCCACCGGTTCGCCTGGCTCTGCAGGTCGTCGAACAGGTCGCGCTTGGCCGCGTCGCGCTCCGGGTCAAGGAACAAAAAGTAGGCGTAGGCGTGAGCCCACCGCAGCACGCGCCGGCCGTCGGCGATCTGCCGGTACGCCTCGGTCACGAACCCGAGCTCCATCGCCGGAACGTCCACCATCCTGGCCATCCTCCCGAGCTCCGACCTCTCCAGCTCGTCCGCGTCCGCGAGCGCCTTCTGCAGCGACTTGCCGTTGCCCGCCCACCGCTCGTAGTGGTACAGGTACCTGTCCAGCGACGCCTTGGCCTGCCTCCGGCGCGCCTCCTCCTCGTCCGCGGCGGCGGCCTCCACCTGCTGCCGCTGGCGGTAGTCGTAGCGCGTGCAGCCTCGGTGGTTGTCCCAGGGGTCGAAGCAGAGCCAGCAGAACTGGTGGCGGCAGGGCGCGCCGCACGTCATGTGGTTGCAGCCGTGGTTCTTCTCGATCGGCCGCCGGCACTTGGGGCAGCGCTTGGTGTTGGCCACCATCCAGTTGGCTGTCTCCGAATCGGAGGCGTTCTTGGGTTTTGGCAAAAATTAGTGAATAGCTGTGAATAGCTGGAGGTTGAAGATGAGGGCAGAAGAGTCATTTTCCTCACCTTCTCTCTCCGCAAATCTGATAAATGAATAAAATATTTGGTGCGGTGTGTTTCAGCAAATGGACGTGATTTTGTAATGGTACTGGGAAAATTTCGTTCTTAGCGATATCCATCAGCATATTAGGCTTTTTAGCGATGTACTGCAGCAAAATCCCCTTTTTTTTCTACCGAGCTCCATAGAGTACTACGAAAGCAGTGAAGGACCCCGAAGAATGTTTAATGTCCCCGAAGAATGTAGATGGCTGGGACCTGAAGCCTTCTGCGTCGATGAATGGGAAGCACAGCACATCCATAACGTTTCAACTTGCGCGTTGGCATGATAGCTTCAATCCAATGAAATGCGGTGTACGTCGTTCGAGATTGTGAAATTTTTGACCAGAACATGTTGATGCATATAGGTGACTTGTGGATACTACGGAGGATGTTGTTTGCATTGGTGGATGCTGGTGAAACTTGAGAGTTGAGATAGCTACCATCCATTGAATAAAAAGGCCAAGCTTGATTTTGTAATTTGCCAATGACGTCGTGTACATTTGCCGAGGGGAATTTGTGCACGTTTGCACGTTTATATATGTTCTGGCGACTTTTTTTTCCTACCTTTGCCGGTAAATGAAATATCCTTGGCTTGGTAAACCAAAAAGAAAAAAAAAAGTAACCTAATTTTATCATGAAGTCTTGTAAGTCGTAAGTTGAGTAACTTGAAAGCAAGATTTTGAGCAGAACCATGTAAACAAAACTGAGTTTTGAGGAATTAAAAAAAAACTCGAGCCAGATTCATGTAGTGAAAGTTCACCGTGTATTTGTTCATGAAAAAACATAGCATATTTTTTTAGTAAGACATGTCCCAATCACAGGATTCATTGCTTTAATGGAGATTTTTTTTTGACTGGTTGAAGAACTACCGACCGCGAGAAAATCAGTTAGGTTGCATTTTTTTTTCTTTAAGGATTAACTAGGTAGCGTGCTCGTGCGTTGCTACGGGACAACTAAATTTTTATACTAAAAACATATGGATCGCACGATAAGATAACAATACTGTGAAATTAAATATCAACGTTAAAGTGACATTTAATTTAAAAACCAAAGTTCGTGAAATTAACACAGTCACGGAGAACACGGCATCACAAGCTTACAAACTCTACTGTATAGAATTTTCCGTGCTAAGGCTACAGGATATTTCATAATAATGCAAATCAAACCAGCAAAAAGCAATGCATATCTTGGTATTAAATCATAGAATGAGATATAAGGTTCTTGGAGAGAGAGAGAGAGAGAGAAAGGGAGGGAGTTATGGAGGTAGAGGGAGAGAGATATTATTTTAATTTATCACTTAGCCATACAACGAAGCCTAAAGCACGAAGCCAAAAATCACACAAACTAAGTGGAGGTGCAAAATCGTAACATTTGAACTTGAGCCTGACCAAAAGCTAACAGCAATAACTTGCAAGATTACTATATTCTCAACGCAATGAGTTCGGCTAGCCATCAATTTAACACTTTCAGAGATGATTTTTTTTTTACAAAACTGCATCCCATTCAAAAGAAACGCTATAATTATGGTAACTCAATCTAATATCATAAATAGTGATTCCCCTAAACAACATATAAGCCTTAAAGAGGAGTTATATCCTTCATTCTGAGAATACTCATTTTATATCAATTAACTCCATCCTTTAAATGTATCAAAATATTTGATAATTCAGCAATAAATCATCGCAAGCACCTGACCTTTTTGCACATTCATTCAAACGCCCTCAGATCCACACCACGCCACACGAAAACTTTATCCGATTCACTCTGATTTTCGGCTAAACGTCTAGCATCTTGATCGCACACGGTGGGCAAGGTCGAGTTGGGAGAGGATGCTGTCAGCAGCCTTGATGGTCATGTCAATGTTCTCGTGCGTCGTCCGGATTGCGTGCGTCCTCACCTGCAACCCCACCAAGCAGAGGACATGTAAATCTATTTCAGAAAAGCTTATGAAACAAATAAAATCTAAATCTCTGTCCTCTCTGGCCAAATGTCTTCACGGTGTGTCGAAGTCCAGTCTTGTCCAATGTGAGAAGCAACAGCAGACAACCTATGAGGACCGGTGCCTGCACTTGCGCCGCCGCCTGCCGCACGAACTCGAGGTACCGCAGCCTCTCGTCCGTCGTCGCCGCCCTCTCCACTGTCACCTCCTTCTGACCAAATCAGACAGGCGTCATATGCAAGCAACAATAAAATACGAGATTCAAAAATATATCTCACACAAACGAAAGGTGGAAAATTACCGGGAGACCATTGTGGAGCTTCTTGGCCATGATCATGAGGAAAGCGTCAGCACTCCCTGGAGCCTTGCTCAAACCGAGATAGATATTTTTTTTTGATAAACAAACCAAGCTAGATTTTGATATAGCACATAATCCGACTCACTGCTATTCCCAGCCATCTCCAACAACCTAAATCACTTGCCGCATATGCCCAGGAAAATTGAGAGGATTATGATGAGGATCAGCGCGACGATGATGCCGAGGACGATGAGCTTCATCTTCATTTTCTGGTACCACATCTTACGCCACACCTGCACGCTGAGCCACCTGAAATCAGCAGCTTCAAACAAACAGAGGAGCCAATGTTCTGTTTCAGTTCTTCTCTTCTGTCTGACACAGGCAAGTTACTGAAGAGATACTTGGTTATGACGATATAAACAGAAACTTGCAACAAACACAGACATCATCGTGGAGCTGCTCTGTCCTTGTGACAGGCCCATCGATCTATTGTCCGCGATCAAAGGCCTAAAATATTTCCACCAAATAAATTCCTCATTCAGAAGTAGTATTTCAAAGTAAGCTTTAAATGGTGGTAAGCAATTCTGCACTGAAACTTGCAGTCATACAATACAACTCTGCTTTGTTTCACTTGGCCACTCAGTCACTAGACACTCAGTCAACCATTCCGAGCCACTTGGTCACTCGATCACTCAATTTGTCATCTCTCGATTACTGGGTTACTCGGCCACTCAGTAACTGAACCCAATCACTCGGCCACTCAGAAACTGAACCCGCTCACTCGGCAACTCAAGCACTCGGCCACTCAAGTACTCGGCCACTCAATCACATGGTCACTCAGTCACTTAGCCGCCTAGTAACCTAGTAGGTTGTAGTTCTGAATAAAAGCAATGTGTTTTTGTACTTCCGAAGGAATGGACAGCTTAATTTTTATAGAAGTTCAAAATCATAAAATAACTGTGCACCTTCTATAATCCCGAAACAGTAGTGTTCATGACAATCGGTAGCATGTCGCTTGTAGTCAGAAAATCATGAGATGCAACAAGTTACATCAATTTGCTACGAAATTGTGAATTTGCTACGAAACCATCACTTCTCAGTGGATAGTACCTGTTACACTTGAATTGTGCATCTTTCCATTGATACTTGAGAAGGGCAGCTCCTCTACCATCTAGGAAAATGGCAGTAACTTTCTGCAAATAGCGAGTCGAATCAGAAACTGACAAATACATACCGTAAATCACAGGAGGTCAAGAGCCACAAATTTGCAAAGTAGTAATCTGTAGTCTCAAATATCAGTCAGGGCTTGGTAGGAGCTAGAGTGGTGCAATCCTAAGCTGGAGAGAGTAATAGCCATGTCCAATGCGGAAACGACCATGTATTCAAACCTGTCCTGTCAGGTGTGTCCACGAAAATCTGTGACACCACCCAGAGCTCAGCGTGTGCTCCTTCCTCATTGAGGAATTCCAACTGAGGGATCAGCAGCTCTGCCTGTAATAATGACATCACCAATCGTAAATCCTCAAGAATCGTATGGTAAATTTGCATATTCAGAAGCTCAGTAAAAAGTGAATACTTTTATACAACATTATAGCAGATACGATTGAACCGAATTACAGAAACAACAATACGTATATGCACAATGAGAATTATAATATACTGTAGCTCGTAGCCCCTGGAGTTGACCAAATCGGCGCTCGCATCCCCTGTATGCGGAATCATCTTTGCCACAGCTGTAGCATGCTCCTTGGTAGCCGCCTGGAAGCTTTGTTGCACCTGGATGATCTGCCGGTGTGCGATGGCCTGCGCGCGCAGCTCGATCTCGATCTCCTGCAGCTCCCCCCGCTGTCGCACGACGCTCTACAGGCGCTGCTGCAGGATGTCATCGCTGAGCTTGGTGATGGCGTAGAAGTCGCCGAGTCCACCCACCCCTTCCCGTGCCCACAACACCCAAAGCGGTCATCCCCAACGTTCCCACGGGTGGAAACCAGTGCGCGAGCAAGGAGGCAAGGGACGCAAGCCAGAGCAGGGAGTGATTTGGGATGGTGGTGGGAGGAGTAAGGCTTTTGTGCTGTCGGGGGATCGGGGCGGCGACGCGGGCCTACCTTGGCGCCATTGGAGCGGAGCGAGGAGTCGGGGACGACGCACCACTCCTTGCGCACCCCCGCGGGCTCCATCTACGGCGGGGCGGCCCTCCCTCTCCCCCTTCCTTGCGGAATCGGGATTTGGAGGCGGCGGCTAGGGTTTACGGGCAGCGAGAAGGGCGGCGATCGGGGAGACGGGAATTTGTGCGGGAGTGGCGTGCGATTGGGGGGAAGGAGAAGGTCTTTCCTTTTAAATATTGCAAGGGACGGCCGCGTGGGAGCGAGTCTGGGAACGTAGCAGGCAGGGCGATAGATGTATGTTCAAAAAATATTTACATTTTATTGTTTTTAGTTATAGGAGATACATATTTCAAAGAACCTTGTCCCGATTAAAAAAAGATAAAGTAGGGTTAACAAAAATAATAGGACCTTCAATTTTAGATAGGCCGGTGACAACTAGTGCAGTTATATATGCAAACACAAGGCCTAAAGTCCAAGGGATGGGTTAAGGGGCATATATGTGCAAAACATGCACTCGAGGACCCGAAGGGTGAATTAGCTTCCCCAAAAAGAGGGGTGGAGGGCATCTCTCTAAGAAAAAATAGAGGCCAGGGGTAGTATGTGAATGCGCAAAAAAGTTTTGGACCTTTGGTGTAGGACATCAGAAGTCTAGAGGGCCTGAAAAGAACGTTTTAGGGGCATATTCGCAAGGGAAAACATGCAACCAGGGCGTATTTCTAAGAGGCCAGGGACCAGCACGTAAAATCTTAAAAAAATTTAAACCATTTTTTAATTTGTGCGTGTCATCCTTGCGCAGGTCTATAATAATCTATTCTATATCGTTCTAATTTTATCGAATGCCTCTGTAGGAAGGCTGCAGTAGCCACAGCTGAGCTTATAAGCTGGTGCTCACGTTGTCCGCTGGTCAGTTTGGTACTAAATCCAGAGTTCGCCCCTCGTTCGCTTCCCTGCAAGCCGCTACGACGACGCCACGCCGCGTGGGCTGGATCCTTTGGCGCGGCCCAGCTATTATGCGAAACAGCACACCGGGCTTCGTGTTTTCCCTTGGGTAGATTGCAGGCCCATTTTGTGATGTGCACGTCTCCACTTTGACGCATTATCCGAACCGAGTGCGCAAGGCCTTCTAGTGGCCTATAAATTACATTTATACATTAATTAACTCAATAGAAACACAGATTTTCCACAAAAAAAAGAAACACAGATTCACTTAGAAAAATAACAGGTACATATATCCTTATCATAAAAATAGTGATAATTTTATATTTCCTACATAAAAAATCAACAAGTATGGTAATCGCCATCCTCTGTTCCTCTCTTGAAACGTGCATGTCTTTCTTCGGTGGAAAAAACAGTGCGGCTCTCGTGAGTCATGAGTACTCCATGGGTGCATTTATCAGGGCGAACCTGCCCAAGATTTTGACAACAATCGCAGTTTGTTTAGCCCTTAATTTTTTTAGGGATGTTTAGCCCTTAATTTTGTTTATGCTGATGCCTGTCGGTGGTCCTATATCTCTTATACATGACCTTTTGGCTCTTACAATCTTGCTAGTATATGATACACTAGATTCTGATTCCAACCCAAACATTGATCGTTAAGTCGAGAACATACTCTATATTATGGGTAGGGATGAAAACGGTCGGGAACGGTCGGAAAAATGTCTTAACCGTTCCCGCTCTTGTATTTTTTTGCCGGGAACGGAAAGGCCGGACGGGAAAACGAAACTGGTATTACGGGATATCGGGAACGGAATATTTCGAACGGGAACGTGTCGATTACGATCGGGAAGCGGTAACACAAAACGGGAACCACCGCTAGCCCCTTCCTTGCCCATGGCCGGCCGGGGGCAGCGGCGCAGGCGCGCAGCGCTCGGCCGCTCGCAGTCGCCAGGGGCAGCCGAGCAGTCTCACTCTCGCAGAGAGGCAGAGGCAGCGCCGCACGAGACGGGAGTCGCCGAGTCGGGGACTCAGGGATAGCGAATAGGGTTTGGCCGCCGTTTTTGGGAGGAACGGGAGGGAGTAGCGGACGGGAGTGGGCTGGGCCTGTGGCGCGGGGGAGCGGGAGGTTTCGTGGGCTGCATCAATCAGTGAGCTGAATATGAGGTTTAGGTGTACAAAATACGAGAATACCGCAGGAAATTTCCCTGCCCGAATACGGGAACCGTGAATACGGTCGGAAAAATTTCTTAATTGATTATGTTCCCGCTCCTGCCTAAAATACGGTGTCGGTTTTCCCATTTCCTGTTTTCCTGCAAAAACGGTATGCGATCGGTTAATGCGGTATACGGTGTCGGTCGGTACGGGAATTTCCCGTCCCGTTTTCATCCATAGTTATGGGATATGGTTGTAGTTTATCTGTTGTATGGATCTGGGCCTACATGTTTGGTTAATTTTTTTTTGCTACTGCAATAAAGTCTTCTCTAGTTTTTTTTTCAAGGGAACATTTAAAACAAACCTTGCGGGTACTGTAATAATGTCTTCTCTAGTTTTTTTTTTTTTGTGAAACAAACCAGGCATGACCATTTCTCTATCTTTTACTATGTCCAAAATTTACTGGCCAGCTGCAAGAATAGTGGCCAGCCTTCTTTTTTTTTTTCGAGCAACGCCAGCATTCTTTTTATTGCCCTGGCCACTTCGGTCATATTGAGTTGGCAAAAACCGTTGTTCAGTTCTTTGCTGTTTATGAGTCTGAAAAGCCTTCTCCATGTCATTTGAAAAGCAGCCCGGCCCAAAGCTTTCTGGGTCAAGCCCATCATTTGAAAAGCTCAGAAAATATTGACTCTTTGTTCTAGTAGAGGTGAACACTGAAAACCCTCTTAAAGAGAGCACTGAAAATAAATTAAAAAATCAATGTTGTCGTCGACCAAGATGTGGGCTGCATTTGTCTCACTATCAACTGGCTTCAAACTGCAGTACCATTGTCTCCAAACAAACAGAGCATCTATCTCGGCCGACCTGAAACTGAAAGTCATGCTTGCCTAACTTTGAGCATCTCATCTGCACACCACAAGAACCGTGCGGTGCCGCTGCCACAACACACAGACGCACAGTGGCATTATTGCTACTTGCAAAGCTGTTCTCGGATAGCTTGCTGCATGCAAACTCCATACATAGTGCAATAATAATGTCATCCGATTAGTTGAATATATCTTCAGTCTCCAGATAAACATCGAACTTTGAGACTGAAAATTCGTCATTTCTCTCACTCATCATTTCATCGAGATGCCAATTTTTTTTTGGCAAAACAGAGACGACGACAGGGAGGATTAGACGTTAATTAATTGAATAAGGGTTGAAAAAAAACAGGCACCAGACAGAGGTAGGACGTGCAAGGATAGCTTTAACAGACACCCGTCCCTGTTTTCATCATCTGGTATCTCCAAAAGCCGTCCGCCGGCGACGATATCTTATCGCCCGGGAGTCACAGACACCCGTCCCTGTAGCCGCCGATACGGAGAGATCCGGCCCGGGCGGATAGATGCTCATCGCCCCGCACAGCGGCGGCAGCCTACCCGGAAAGCCTGCGCCCTGCGCCGCGCGTGGCCAGCAGCCCAGCACCGTCTCGTCTCGTCTCAAGATTCTTCCCTAGGGCTTGTTCGGTAGTGGGAGAGAATTTCTCTGCGGTGCACGAACGGAATCTTGGCACACCTGTAACCTGTTGCTGCAGCCTGAATTCTCAGTTCCGTCGTGGATGTCGAATTCGTAATCTGCATGCTGATGGAGAGAAAAGCTGCGCCGCTTTTCGGGACTATTTAGTTTGTGATTTCAAAATTTTGGCTGGACCAGGTAGCATTCAGCTTCACCGCACGTTCAAACTGAACGATGCAGCTTCTACTTGTCAGGCCTCAACGCAAACAGGCCATACGTCCATGGCCGGATTCTTCAGAAAACCAACGCGCGGCTCTGAACGATGCAGGGTCATCCAAGCTCGCTCGCTCGCTCGCTCACTCACATTGTCGCGAGCAGAATCCGGCGCCATAATTGACCAGCTTAAGCCATGGCTGAAAGTACTATTGACTGATTTATTATGAAAGAAAAATACTGTTTATCAATTAAAAAAGTATAGCTTATAAGTGAAGCGAACGAGGCGAAGAGTCACGGGCAAGGCATCGATCGATGGATGGATTCTCGCAGCTTTTCGGGCAACAGTAGCAGCAACGAAAAGTTCTTTCTTGCTTGGCCGACAGAGGAACATGTCAACATGCCACTACAGATTAAAGCGTAAGAGGGATCGATAGAGAATGTGATCTGCAGCTCTTCCATCTCTGAACGTGCGGCGGGGATAGGCGTCGAAAGAGCTTCCTGTTGCTGCACTGTAGCTATGGCAGGGGCAGCCGTCGAAAGGCTCCCCTGCCGCACTATAGCCACAGCAGGGGCATGCACTAAAGTCAGTTTTACTGTCACATCTAGTCACTGTAGCAGCCTGGTAGCCTAGCATGTCTGTGTACTAGATTAGATGGGTAGAGTTGTATATATAGCTTTCCACTGTAACTCAGAGAACGAGTTCAGTTTTGCCATCTCCTCTGCAGAGCTTCGGTCAACGCTGGTGCTTGTGCTGTGTGTGTGCGCTCTATTCTTCCTCCCTCTTCTACCTCCAGCCATAGTGTGTGTGCGAGAACGCCGGTGACCGATCGGTTCACCCAGTGACCGGTTGTCTTATCCGTGCGGGAGATCCCGAGCCCAACAAGTGGTATCGGAGCCGTACAAGCGTCGTCGCTGGACTAACCGCTGACGATGATGGACGGTTTAAAGATGGGCGACAGCAGCAGCGCTGCTGTGGCTGCCCAGCCACGACAGGAGGTCATCGTGCGCACGGTGCGGGAGGTCAGTGGCACCAGTTGGCCGACGCTGACTCGCACCAACTATGGCGAGTGGGCGATAACCATGAAGGTCAAGCTCAGAGCCCGACGGCTCTAGAATGCCATTGATAAAGGCACCGACAACGAGGAAGACGATATGTCAGCGTTGGAGGCTATCCTCGCTGCTGTGCCAGTGGAGTACAGGGAGCCGTTGGGGGCGAATAACTTTGCTAAGAAGGCGTGGGAGGCCATTGCAGCGATGCACGTCGGCTCTGA